GTGCCAGGTGGTTCACCTGTGTCCCCTCATTTATCCTGGAACTAACCTGTGAGAGAGGTACCCTACCCCCATTCGCAGGTGGGGAAACCGAGGCACAGAGAGGGTAAGTGATTTGCCCAGGTCCTCACAGCATTTAAGCAGCAGAGGCAAGATTTGAATCCAGACCCTAGACTCTGCGTTTAGCTCTGTGGCCCCCTCGCAGGTCTGCTGTGAGAGTTCTCAGGTGCAGTGTTGAGCACAGCGTTGGCTCCTGGGAAAGCGCATGGCAGGGCTTAGCTGGCCTCTCTAGTGACAGCCTCGCCAGTCACTCCCCTCTGGGCGCCGCTGACAGCCTTGGGCGGACCTGGCTGTGTGACTCGGCCCTTGTGACTCTGAGCAGTTCCTTCCCTGTGTCTGTCCTCGTCTGCTCATCTGGGAGCTGGTGGTGGTGGGCGCATGCCCTCTGCCAGCGCTCCCGCCCCTCCAGGCACCGGCTGGCAGTCTGCTTAGCCCTGGGCCCAGTCACCTTCCACCGTGGCTGGGGGCCGGCTGCCTCCGAGACCTCAGGGGAGCCCCTCAGACTGGGGGGCCTAGAGCGGGTTGGAGATGATCAGAGGCAGGTGGTCTGGGGTCCCCACTCTGGCCCTGCTGGAGCCCTGAGAGCCCCTAACTGAGCCAAGTGGAGGTGGTGGGCGGCGTGGGACGCAGACAACGAGACGACAAGACGAGCTCTGAGGCAGACTCGCTGGGTTCACCCCCAGCTGTTGCCGGGCAGTGCCTTCCTGCTGCGCCTGCTGCCTTACATGCAGATGACGACACTTTGAGGCGTATTTCAGTGGTGCAGGCAGAGCCTGGCCCAGAGCTGGCCGCCGCGAGGCTGCGGCTCCTCCGCTCCTGCTGCCTCCCTCCCTCCCCGGCTCCTGGTGGAGCCTCGCTTTCCGTGTTGTCTGCGCCTCCCCTCCCCTGGCAGGTTTGCCTTTTTTTTTAAGGCTAAAATTTTTATTTATTTTTCCCCGTTTATTTCATTTTTGTTTGTTTGTTTTCAGATTTGCCTTTTAAACTTGGCTTGGGTCGGGTCACATATGGGAGGGGAAGTGGAGGTGGTAGCCGTGGGTCAGAACGTGAGAGGCGGGTCCTCGGGGCCGGGCTCCATGTGGACGTGGAAGGACATGGTGGCCGAGGCCACCCGCAGGCCTGTGGAGAGGGACCGTGTTAGGCGTGGCGCCCACTTGCTCATCTGTTTGTACAGCTCTCCACGCCTCCCGCCTCTCACACTCGGAGCCGCCCTCGGCCACCCCGTCGCCGGCCCTCAGTGTGGAGAGCCTGTCGTCCGAGGGCGCCAGCCAGCCCGCCGGTGGGGACCTCCTGGAGCCGCCGGTTGTGCCCAAGAGCTCCTCAGAGCCTGCTGTCCACGCTCCGGGCACCCCCGGGACCTCTGCCAGCCTCTCTGCCGGCTCCTCCCTGTCCTCCTCTGGGGAGCTGGCGCAGCCCACCCCGGACCGGACGCCTCAAGCCAGCCCTGGCCTCGCCCCCAATACGAGGGGCAGCTCGGGTGCCCAGCCAGCCAAGCCCTGCAGTGGCGCTGCCCCCACCCCGCTCTTGTTGGTGGGAGACAAGGTCCCCGTGCCTTTGCCTGGCACCTCCTCCCCGCAGCTCCAGGTAAAGGTGAGTGCCTCACCCTCGCCCAGAAGCTGGCCTGTCAGTCAGTGATGGGGTCTGGTCTCAGGACAGGAGTGTCCGTGGCCGTCCATCTTTGCTGGCCTTTTACTTCTTGACTGACCTGGCCATGTCCATCTACCCATTCGCCACCCCATTCGCTGAGGCACAGATCCATCTGTCTGTCATTCCATCGGCCAGACCTCCCGTCCATTTCTTCACCTGTCCACCCGCCTGGCCTGCAGGCATTGATGCATTCAGGCACCTGCTTACCTGCCTATCCATGCACTTCTCCCTCCGGGATCCACTCACCCAGCCACCATCCATCCGCACGTCCTCCTGTCCACCCTTCTGCTCCCTGAGGCCCTCCCAGGCCCGTCCTGCACTCCGTCTCCTTTCGGGGGTGGAGTGGGCATGAGGTGACCATCCCAGGGAGCTCAGGACCTTTGTGGGCTGTCTGCACACTTGTTTCACTCCCACGCCAAGAACGGGGGTCACCAGGGGTCAGGACATTCCTCTGGGCACCTATTCCTGAGGGGCCTCTCCTGCAGCCACAGCCCCTCTGGGCCTCCAGGTTCTGATCGTCCACTTTCGCCCCACACGCTGAGCTCTCTGAAGGCCAAGGCTGGTCCAGCCCCCGGGGAAGTGGCAGGACGGCTCCTATGGGGCAGCTGTGGTCCTGGTCTGACCCGACAGAGGACAAGGCTGGGGAGGCAGCTGAGCTATTGGTCCAGCCTCTGCCCATGTGCCTCTCAGGCATTTAACCTTCCCTGACCTCCGCCAAGGCTGCCTTTCCAGCTCTGCCACCCACCTGCTGACCCTGGAGAAGGCCGCCCTGCCCCTTCTCTGGCCCCGCCCCTTCTCTAGGCCTCAGCGGCTCTGAGAAGCCCCAGGGTTCCTCGGTGGGAGGTGGGGGAGGGGGTGAGTTTAGGCCGCTCCCTTTAAACACCCTCTTGGTGTGAAGGAATGGTGTCTGAGAAAAGGCTGAGGACCCCCGAGGGGCTGGGGTTTCAGGCTGTTTGGCGCTGCTGAGCCCCTCGGGGTGCGACTGTGGAGAGAGGAGGTAGAGTCGCAAGTGGGCTTCCTTTTGAGGCATCCTCACACCCTAACCCCAAGGGTAGGAGAGGATGGCAGAGGCACTGTGGGCAGCAGAGGGGGTCTTGGGTGGGTGCTGCCCTGCGGGAACCATACCTGCCTCCCTGCCGTGCCTGGACTCGGAGCAGCTACCCCTGAGGGAACCTCTCCCCGGGCTGCACAGGGGGTGAGCAGGCCCCCTGCCTCCCCGGCTGCTGGAGAAACACTCGGGGAACACGCCACAGCCCGTGAGGCCTCTCCATGGGGCCCTGATGACCCCTCTGTTTCCAGGGGCTGGGGAAGGGTTTGGAGGTGCTAGGGCTGCCGGCTGTGCTGGGAGAGAGAGAGAGAGACACACAGAGAGATACAGGCCCTCTGGTGCACGCTCTGGTGCACGAAGGGGCCAGCGGGGAGAGGGTTCTTTCCTGGGCAGGCGGGAGGTGCTCTCCACCACCTGCTGGCCAGATGCAAGGCGGTGCGGGTTGGGGGGAAGGGGGGAGGAGGGGGGAGGGGAGGATCCCCTGCTTTTGTACTTCCCGACTGGGCCCCGCTGGGCAGGGAGCAGTGCCTCTCTGAGCCTGGGAGTCCTCGCTGGGGAAGGGGCGGTTATGAGGCCTGAATGAGCTATGACAGCTCTGTTGGCCCTAAACTCCCAAGACCTGACCACTGCTCCAGGGCTGGATGGCTGCCCGCCCTGCCCTGAAACAGATGCTCAGCCCGGCTTGGGCCCTTGGGAAGTGCATGAACTTGAGCCCATTTAGTAACCTCTCTGACCTTGAGGTAAAGTGGGCATCACAATACCCACTGAAAGCATATGTACGCGCTCCAGGGCAGCAGCCGCGCTGGGCGGTGGGGAATGGGAGGTGTGTTGGATGACTGAGGGCCTCAGAGACTGAATGCTGGGAGATGCCTCTCTGCGGGGGGGCCCCCTCCCCTGCTTTCCAAAGTCCCACTGCTCCCTTCCCAGACTTACCCTCTGTCGTGTCACCTGCCTTTAGTCTTCCTGCAAGGAGAATCCTTTTAACCGGAAGGCGTCGCCCACAGCGTCCCCAGCCCCAAAGAAAGCCACCAAAGGACCCAAGCCAGCGAGGCCACCTGCCCCAGGACACGGCTTCCCGCTCATCAAGCGCAAGGTACCAGCTGGGAGCTCCAGGCTGCCGGGCCCAGCCCTCCGTGGCAGCCGCAGGCTCCCGGTGGGGCACTTGGGGAGGGTGGGCTGCCTGGGCAACTGCGCCCAGATGTTGGAGAGGGGCGCGTGGGTGGTCCAGCTGGAAGGTTAACTTGACCAGGGGCATTTCAAGCAGATCAGCTGTTTGCAAGCAGGAGCAATGGGTGGTGCTTCTAGCTCATTACTAATAGTAGCTCAAGGATCAAAGCACTCACGTGACTCTTCCAGTAAGATGGACCAGTGTTCTCCAGTGTACCTCTAGAGCGAGGCCACCCACACTGGGATGTCGCCTAGGGAGTGGCAGAGGAGGGGCAGGCCTGCCAGGAGAGGCAGGAAGTTGTGCCCCCCTCTGCGTGTGCCCATTGGTGCTGGGGCCAGGGGCATGGAGCAGCTGTGTCTGTGCCCACAGCAACCCTTCCCCACCCTGGGTGCTGCAAAGGGCGTGGGATGGCGCCCGGGCCCTGGGCCTGTGGCGGCCAGTGCTGGCCCGAGAACGTGAAGCTCCTGGCAGCAGGCAGGGCCGGGTGGCTGTTCCTCAGGTGACCGGGGTGCCGTCGGGCAGGTCCAGGCTGACCAGTACATCCCCGAGGAGGACATCCACCGAGAGGTGGACACCATCGAGCGCCAGCTGGACGCCCTGGAGCTCCGCGGGGTGCTGCTGGAGGAGAAGCTGCGAGGCGGGGTGAATGGTGCGAGAGCTGCGGGAGGGCCGGCGGGCGGGCGTGGGGTGGCGGGTGCCGCTCTCGCTGAGGCCGGGCCCAGCTGCCAGCCCCGGGCTCAGTGGGACCTGGTTGCAGAGGGCCGTGAGGACGACATGCTGGTGGACTGGTTCAAGCTCATCCACGAGAAGCACCTGCTGGTGCGGCGGGAGTCCGAGCTCATCTACGTGTGAGTCCTCCGCCCTGGGCCCGCTCCCGCCCCGGGACGTACAGCTGGGAAGGGAGGGACTCCCGCCTTCCTCCTGCGTCACTGACGGCGCAGGCCAGGCCGCCTTGCGTGGGGCCGAAGTCACAGTCGTCTTATTCCCACCCTCCAGTTTCAAGCAGCAGAACCTGGAGCAGCGCCAGGCCGACGTGGAGTATGAGGTCAGGTGCCTCCTCAACAAGCCAGGTGCGTGCAGCCTCGTGCCCTCTGGCGCCACCCAGGCCTGGGACACGGGAGCCGGCCCCGTCCTTCCCCTCCAGGCTGGGCAGTGGACGGACAGCGCCCTGAAGGGGACACACCGACTCTGGGAACAGGGCCGGGGAGAGGGCTGGGAGGTGCCGTCTGGGTTGCATCAGGTTATAAACAGGCTTGAGCCAGCAGGGGAGTGTGGACACATGTTGTTGGAGATGACTGGCCCACAGAGCACCAAGCTCAGGAACAGACACCTGTGGCTGCCCCCTCCTGGGACGTGTGGGGGGGCGGATTCCCCGGGGGCGGGGCTCAGGCTCCAGAGCCCAGGGCTGCTCTGATGAGTGGATGACAGCTCTGGGCTCACGCCCTCAGGCTAGAGCAAGCGTGTCAAACTCTCAGCAGGACCTGCCCCGCACTGGGAGGGGGTGGAGGGATCCCCTGCACAGCGTGACTCAGGATGACTGGGAGGGAGGGGCAGGACCGGCTCAGGATGGTGGAGGGGCAGCTGGAGGGCCGGGGTGGAGGCAGACCATCCTGTGTTTTGCTGCTAATGTGCTGGGGCGGGGCCTCCCTGAGCCTCAGTGGCTTCAGGCGTCAGACAGGATGAGGGTACCTACCTCACAGGGTGTTCTTGGGGCAGGTGACAGTGGGTGTGGAAATCCTCTGTGGCCCCTGAAGGGCGGAAATGATGGTTATTAAGTGGCTGAGCTGGGGTCCGTGGCTGTGACATGGGAGCCGCAGCTGCAGGCCCAGGGACGGTGGAGTGTTTAGAGCGGGAGCCAGGGCTCTGACCACTTCCTGTGGCCCAGGTGTGGCACCGTCACTTCCACCAACAGGTGAGCCCGAGAGGTGGAGTCTTGCCCATGGATGGACCTGGGCTTCTACCTGTGTCTCTGACCTGGGCCCGACCCTGTAGACACAGTCCTTCCTGCCAGCGGGGTCGGTGCTGCCTCTCCATTGACTGGGGAAGTTGGGAGGTGGGATGAGGCCCGGAGGCCAGAGTGTCCCTGGGAGAGTAGTCACTCCCAAATCTCAGGGAAGGCTAAGGCGTGGCCACCCTGGAGGGAGCCACAGCGACACCCTGTGGCCAGAGTGGGCACAGCACCTGTATGCCCGGCCAGCCTGGCTCTGGCCTTCTGCATGGTGACAGCACATCCTAGCTTTGTCACCTGTCCCCAAGGTTGTTTTGGCGGGTGGGACTGGTTTATAAGGCCCCATAGATACCATAAGGGCTGCAGATGGCGAGTGTCAGGTCGCCCAGGTTCAAATACGGGCTCCATCCTTGCTGTGTGACACTGATCACTGACTTGACTTCCCTGACCCTCAGCTTCCCCCCATGGAGATTGGTGACATAATTTACCCGGGCTCCAGATCTGGGAAGTGGCAGAGTAGGACTTGAACTGGGGGACTTGAAGCCCGAGCTGTCCCCAGAACTGTGAGGGCCACCTGCTCCTGCCTTGTGCGAGGTGAAGTGGAAGGGGCAGGTGTGGAGGGAAGGCCCACGTGGGCACCCATCCCCGGGGGCCTGTGGGCTGGGTGGGAGGATCCTGAGGGGCAGGTGGGCCCCTGACGTGGTCCGTGAGGATTCTTGAGAGGAGACTGGAGGAGCAGCAGGTGCATGGCTGGGCTCCCTGCCCCAGGGTCCCCTCTAGTCTGCCCTCCTTCATGGCATTAATGTTCCAATAAGCCACGTGGGTCACCGGGCTTCTCCTGCACGAGGACCCCTGGGACTCCCTGTTCTTTCTCCACCCCTGCTCCCCTGGCCAGCCGCCTTGGGAGGTTCTCAGAGGCCCAGCCCCATCCCGCCTCCTCCGAGAAACCACCGTGAGCATTTGTGAACGAACGAATGCGCGGAAGCAGGAGGCCGTCTGCATGCGCTGGTCTCTGGTCTCTGTGCTTAGAGCAGGTGCTGTGCTCCCTCCTGAGCCCCACGGGTGGTGTTTCTGGTAGGCAGCCCCGTAACCTTGGTCGCTTCTATAATGACCTTCCTCTTTCCCAACACGTGGACTCCCCACCCATCTGCTCCTCCGTCCTGGCCTCTGGCACAGGGCTGGCCCGAACTCAGCACTTAGGGGTTGCTGCCTGGCTTCCTGGGAAGGCAGGGGGGTTTCCTACCACTCACACCCCCAACTTTTCTCCTTGGGCAGAAAAGGACTGGACAGAGGAAGACCGGGACCGGGAGAAGGTGCTGATGCAGGAGATGGTGACTCTCATCGAGCAGCGCGATGCCATTGTCAACTGCCTGGATGAGGACCGGCAGAGGTGACCAGGCTGGTCATGGCTCCCCGGGGGTTCCTGGGGGAAGGGCTCAGAGCAGGCGGGCCAGCCCTGCCCTCACTGAGCGATCCCTGTGCACCCTTGTTCACCCTGGGGGAGTCGGAGGCTGGAAGGGACTGGGATTTTCTGGCCCTTCCTCCTGTGGGACACTCAGCTTCCCTTTCTCGTTTCAGGGAGGAAGAGGAAGATAAGATATTGGAAGCCATGATTAAGAAGAAAGGTGAGGCCCCTCCACGGCCCCGGCCCCTTTGAACTCCAGGTTGAACAGAGGGGTGGAGTGGGCACTACAGGGATGGCGTGTGCCAACTCCCAGTTCTGTTTTGTTGGGAAGCCGTGTGTGGCGAGGCAGGCGGCCTGTGGCCAGGATGACTGTGGCCTGGCCTTGGAGGGTGGGTGTGGCTGCCCGGTGCCCACAGGGAGCACCGGTGTGCTGTGAGCATTTTCCCAGCGTGGTTTACCGAGCTCTGCCTTCCTCCCGGAGAGCTGCAGCTGGTCTTAGAAGTCTGTGGGCTCTAATAGCAGTACCTTCCAGCAATAAGGCAGGGCCTGCAGCGGTTAAGGGAGCACTGAGTGGGCAGTCAGGAGACCTGGGTTTAATCTTAGTTCCACTGTGACTCATGTTGTGGCCTTGCGGCTGCGTCTGGACTCGTCAGACTGCTGGGCTTCCAGCCGCTCTGGTGAGTATTAGGGGGGGACTTGAGCCTGACTCTCCTGGCCTGCAGAGGCCCCGCCTCCCAGGTGTGTGCTGAGGATACTGGGAAATGTGTGGGCAGCACTTCGCCAGGGCCTGGCATCTACAAAGAGCTGCTAGTCCGTTGCAAACCCACATTTTCTCGTCTGTCTATAAAGTCGGGGCACGGAGAGATGATTTCTGAGGTTCCTTCCAGCTCTGAGTCAGTGTTTGTGTTGTAACCCACGGAGCTGTGAGCACCGGCCTAGGAATCAGCCTTTTAAAGATAAACGTATGCCATACTCCAGACACCGCACATTCCTTTGTCCCGGATCCTTGCCAAACCCTGGGAGAGAATATGGTTCCCGTTCTGTAGGCAAAGAACCAGAGGCTGAGGGCGAAGTGACGTGCCCAGGGCTCCCGGGAGGAGGTGCCGGCCTCTGTCACAACCCTCCTCTCCCCTCCCCCAAGTTGTTGAGGCTTCCCTCTCTCTTCTGCAGGGTTCCAGAAGGAGGCTGAATCCGAGAGCAGCAAGAAGGGGAAGTTCAAGAAGGTGAAGGTGCTGAAGCTGCTGGGAAATAAGCGTGACGCCAAGAGCAAGTCCCCCGGGGACAAGAGCTGACAGCGAGGGGCCTTCCACCCTGTGGCTCAGCCTGTCCGGGCTGGTTCCTGTGACTCCGATGCTGTGTCAGACCCAAGGAGCAAGCAGGGTCCAGGGTCCTGGGTCCGGGGAATGGCAGCGGCCGCGCACACCTGCCCCTCGTCCCGCCCAGCCCGGCTGTGACGGCAGCTCCTGGGTCCTTCCTTCTGGGTCACGTCCAGACGGGATTCTTCGCTGTTAAAGTTCGGACCTGAGGGTCCTTCCCCCATGAGGTGTGTGCCCGGCCTCCTGCCTCTAGGGCCCTGCTCCTCGCAGGCAGAGAGCCGGGCTTGGCTGCGCTGGCTGCTTCCTGCCCGGCCCGGCCCGGCCCGGCCCAGTTCCTGTCTTCCTCGCCGGGCAGGTGGCCCGAGTCCGCTTCTCCC